AGTAATAAGGATGATAAAAGATTTGTATGTGAAAATAGAATTGATACATTACCTTGGGGACATAAAAATATAATTTAAACATAAATAAATGGAAATAATAATCATACCAAAAGAATTAATAGACAGTGAATATGATCAAAAATTGTTTTTGTTTAAAACTAAATTATCAAATAAATATTTAATTTATCTTTTTAAATATAAAGGATATTATGTTTATCACAATGCCTTTAATTTTAATATAAAACCATTCTTATATAAAGTAATACAATATGTTAAAGAAAGTTTTAAGGAAAATGATCAAAATGTAATTAATTTAAGATTTTAAAATTAGTGAATATAAACCTGATTCATGAATTAATATATTTTTATTTTTAAATATAAAATTATTATTAAATAAATCAATAGTTGTCATTATTTATATAGAAAAAAATTTAAGTTAGAAATTTTGTTTTAATCTTAAATACACAATATTCTTAACATTTTTATTATTTATCAAATTTCCTTCATTATCTTGAATAGATATTACAATATTTTGAATTTTATTAATATTTTTTAAAGGAACATAGTCTATTTGATTTGGTTTTTCACTTATTTTTGAACCATATTTAACATTTGGATAAAAAGTATATAGAATTTCTGATTCTTTATGTAAATGCGAGTGATCATTATGATTTTCAAAGCTAGGTTCAACCAAATTACAATGGATTTCTAAAACATCAAAAGATCTTAATTTAGGTAACTTAATTCCTTTAATTAAAGTGTCTGGTTCAATCATTTCATCCTTTAAACCTAATAAATCAGTTATAATAGCTGTTACTATAATTTTAACAGGTGATTTTATCACAATAAGAGAACCCTCATTTTCTAATAAAAACTCATTTTCATCAAAATTATCTGCTTTCTTTTTAAATTCTTTTAAGCTATTTTTAAAGTTTTCTTTTATAGTTTCTAATGTGTGATATCCTTTGTTTAAATTAAAATATTGATTTATTTCTTTTTCACCATTCTTAATAGTAAAACCATATACATTTTTATAATCATTTGGTACATTTAATACAAAATTATCTGAATAAAATCCACAAAGACCAATACTATAATTTCCATCCAAATTAATTGGATGTTCTAATCTTAGTTCAATCTTTGAAGAATTGCCTGTAATTTTAAATAATTTCATCTTATTTAAATGGAAAATTTTTTAAAGGAAAAAAATAAGATAAAATTTGATACATATGATGAAAAAATCAAGAATAATCAACCAATTAGATTGTTAATAATAGGATCAAGTGGTTCTGGTAAAACAACATTACTATTAAATTTCATCTATAAAAGATTGATACCATACACAAATTTATATGTTTTTAGTAAATCACTAGAGCAGCCTGCATATATAAAATTACAACATAGATTTAAAAATATTGAAATGAACATTAACAAAAAAGTTGCAAATTTCTTTGGTTCATGTGAAGATATAATTTCATTAAATGATTGTAAACCAAATTCATTAATTGTTTTTGATGATTGTATTTTAGAAAATCAAGATAAAATAAAAGAGTATTTTGTAATGGGTAGACATAAAAACATATCATGTATTTATCTTTCACAATGTTATTCAAAAGTTGACATTAAATTGATAAGGAATAATTTAAATATGTTATGTATTTTTAAGCAAAATAATCATTATATAAAACAAATTTTTGATCATTTTGTAGGTTCTGATATGTCATTTAATGAATTTAAGGATATTTGTAATGATTGTTGGAAAGAAAATTATGGATTTTTAACTATGAATTTGATATTAAAAACAAATGAAGGAAAATATATGAATAAGTTTTCTAATATAAAATTTTCTTCTAAATAAATGTGGTGTATGCTTGATTTAATTGTTGATAAAATATTTGTTATAATAATATTTGCCTTATCTTTAGTGTTTATTTTTTTTATTAAATTTACAGAAAATAAAAAATGATGTGTTTGTGTTTATTTTTAGATTTACTTATTATTTTTGTTTTATTTATATTAATCATTAGTGTGGTGTTGATTGTGCTTAATCGACATAGTTTATGTTTATGTTAACATGGTTTATGTTTGTGTTAACATCATTTATGTTTATGTTAACATATTTTTTCTTTTAATAAATGGATAACATAACTGTCAACAAGGCTAAGAAGTTAGATGAAATTGAAAAAAAATTAATAAAAGAATTTAAAAATCAAATTAAAATTGATGAAAATTATGAACAAATTAAACAAAAAGCATATGAACCAATAACATCTGCAATTGGTAAAGTAGAAAATAAAATTGGTGAAGTTTTAAATGAAAATAAAAATTTAATGGATTTAGTACCTATTGTTAATCAATTTGCAAACATATCAATACCACAATCTGAAGAAGAATTTATGTTACCTTCAAGTACTCCATTTAGACCAATAAGAGAACAAATTATTGAAGAAGAATCAACATTTATAGATCCAAATATTGTTTCACCTCAAATATTAAATAAAATCATTGGTCCAATTGCACAAAAATATTTACCTAGAGCAAAAGATGATAAATTTGGTTTGTATTGGGATAAACATAAAAAATCATTTATGATTGGTGATAAAATAACAGTAATTGATAATGATGATTTACTTGTTAATGGTAAAACATATACTGGCACTCAAGGTTTATGGAGATTATTGACATATAAAGACAAACCAGATGATAATTTATATAGTCAAGATGATTTAAATAATTACTCAAAAATTTTATGGGAAACAGATTCAATTTATAAAAATAATGATCCAAGTACTAGAAAACCAAAATCAAGTAAAGGTAATAAATATATGAATTTGATTAAATTTATTTGGGATTCTAAAGGAAATATTGAAGGATCTGGTATAAGAAAATATTCAGAAAATAAAATTGAATACAGATATATTGATGATTTAAACAAATTAGAAAGTATAATCAATTATATATATGCTCAAGAAAAAGCTGGAAATAATAACTTTATCAATGAAAAAAGGGCTATTAAAGATTTTATTTCAAACAAATTAGATGAATTAATTGAAAAACCTGATGGTATAAAATATTTAAAAAGAATATTACCAACTATAACATCACCAATTATAGGTTCAGGATTATTAAATGATTTTATAAATAATTTACCATTTGAATTGCATGTACCTGGTTTTCAATATCTAGGACCTGGAACTAAGCTACAAAAAAGATTAAAAAGAGGTGATCCTGGAATAAATGATTTAGATAAAGCTGCTAAAGAACATGATATATTTTATAGAGATCATAAAGATACAGAATCTAGAAATGATATTGCTGATAAAATATTACAAGATAAAGCATGGGATATAGCAACATCTAGTGATCATGATATAGGTGAAAGATTAGTTGCTTTACCAACATCAGGTGCTATGTGGTTAAAAAGAAAATTTGGAATGGGATTAGAAATAGGATTAAAATTTTAACCTATATAAATGGAGAAAGTTAAGGTAAATTTAACTGATTATCAAAAATCTAAAATTAAATCTGCTTTTAAGAAAAATAAAAATTTGACTATACAATTTGAAATAGATCAATTTAAAAATGGTAATGATGTATTATTATTAACTAAAAGACAATTGAATAAATTAGAAAAACATAAAAAATTAAATACTGGATTAAGACTTGAATTTTCTTATAATCAACTTAAACAAATAAAAGATGGTGGTTTATTAAATGAAATATTAAATGTTGCTGATTATATTCCTGGCATAAATAGTTTAACACCAAAAGTTAGAAGAGGAGCTAAAGTAGTAAAAGACAATGTTATTCCAAAATTTAGAGAATTTATAAATTGGTTAGATCAAGAATTAGCTAATGTAAAAGGATCTGGATTAGATGAAAAAACATTAAAATATGTTAAGAAAAAAATTTCAACCCATTGACTTTAGCTGATTTAGAAAAATTATGTCAAAATATTAAGAATTTTAGAGGTGTTTTTATGAGAGATATGCTTCCAAAAACTGTTAATAAATTTGAATGTGGTATAGTCAATTTAGATTCATTTTCTGGTAATGGAACTCATTGGATATGTTATTATAAAAAAGATAAAATTAAATATTACTTTGATTCTTATGGAAAAATTGTTAATAAACCTTTTAAGGAAATTGTTAAATATTTAGGAAAAGACAATATATTTTTTAATGATTCACAAATTCAAAATTATGATGATCCACCTATATGTGGTCATTTGTGTGTTTTTGTATTAAATGAGTTGAATAAAAATACAAGATTTGATAACATAATCAATAAATTAATTCTTAATAAATATGGATTCATTAAATATATTTGATCTATTTGGTAGACAGAAAAAAGATTTAATTGAAGTAAAAAATGATTATATTAATTCAAAATTAAATTCCATTTTTAATGATATTAATAAGGATTTAAAAAACCATATTAAGAAAACTAATAATTTGGTTAATGCTATTAGTTTAGAATTGAATACAAAATATAAAATAGAAAAATTTGAAAAAGTTAAAGATAAATATGGACCAACAGTTATTGTTGAATTAGAAAAATGTAAAGTTCATTTGCCTCATAGATTTATTAATATATTTGATGAAAAAACAATTAAAGAATTAAATAAAAAAGATTTAAACTTAATTATTACTGAAATTAAAACATTCAAAGATAAAGAAACTGTTTTAGTTAAATTTGTATAAAAACTACTCATTAAATTTTAAAATTTTACTTGTTTTTAAAAACATTTTGTTTTGTACTCAATTATATGGAAAATATAGACATATTCATGAAAATTTCATCAAAATTATATACTTTTTCTAGAAAAATATGAAAATGTTAGAAATTGGCCTAAAAGAGGCAAAAATTTAACATATTAGTATTGAAAAACAACAAATTTCATTAAATTATTAAAGTCTTCCTTTTTTGGTCTAGGATTGGTACATTACTATCTACTTATATATATGTCCTATATATGTATATCTGTGTCCTATGTGTACCTTTAAGGATGATCTGCAACTGGTCAGACAGCACTTCAAACACCGATATGCTGCCCCGGTCCTCCGGTATCTGGTGTTTCTTATTCCACGCTCCGCACGCAAACTGGAAAAAGTCCACGCACGGATTGGCTGTCTGGTTCATGGCGGCAAGGAGTGAAGAGGCTGAAAACATACACAGGTTGTAGTTAACGACTGGCTAATGAAGAAAATTAGGTGACAAGCTACAAAGACAAAAAAGGAAATTTTTCAAAGAAAATTCAAATTTTGTGAAGGAGGCAAATTTCTTAACTTCATGCTGTATTTTTTATATATATTTTGACCCCATATGCTATGGGAGACAAAGAGAGATATCAAGTGATTTAGAACTAGGTTTATAAGACATTGCTATCGCATTAAAATGATGTAGGCCTAAATATAATTTAAAATAGAATATATAGTGTCACCAAAACAATTATCTAGTTACCCAAGTCATAGGCTACACTAATTATGTAACAACCCTGTTATATAGAAAATAATTTATGGATTCACTTTTTAATTATTCAAGGCCTTTTGATCCAACTACGTATAAGGATCAGCTTTTTAATTCTAGAGAAAAAAATCCACTTATATGAACCAGCTGTAGCCAATTTTCATTCAAATTTAACACAGTTGAATGAGCTATTCAAAGAGTAAACTATGTAACAGTTATATTTATACAGTACTATCGAAATCGTTGTGACATAAAATGTGCTATAATGTAGCAAACAATCCGTTCAGTTTTGCTTGGTTAAAAAGAATATGTATATTACTACTAACGTTAATTTTCGTTCAAACTGTACTGATTAAATATGGGAAATGAGTGTCTTCTACTCTCCATGTCACGAATATTAGAACAGCAACGGCACGAATCATAAACATAATAAATTACGTCACTGACCCGAATGCCTATACTAATAGCAGGTTTGACAGTTCCGTTTAAATATTAATAAAATCGTGTTTACTTCCGGACTAATGACGTAATTTTATTATGTTTATTATCAGGATCCACACATTTTGTTCTAATATTCTTGCTCCAGAGTCAAAAGTATACAGAAAAAATACAGTTGGAATAGTTTCAATTTTAAACACGTGATCTTTTCGCAATAAGTTTAGTTTACTTCTGTAAGAAGATTCAATTTAGCTAGTTAGATTAAACAATTAATTAAATTGAGTCAGGACATTTTTAACTCGCACCACTTTCCTTGCAAACTCCCCACCCCAGGTTTATACCTGTTGCTTCTTGCTTCTAGTTAAAGATTAATGTCACTTTGCCACCAGCTGATTGCTTCTTAATTATTGAAACACCCTCCCCCCCCCTTTTCCTCCCCCACTAATTTCTTCTCATCTCAGATTGAAATTTACCCTTGAGCGATTTACCTTCTATATCCTGATTAAGTGGACTTTTAATTTAACAGGGATGCCTAGCGGTGTTTCCGTTCAAGACCTTACAGGTGTTTGGATGATTTTTATTTTTAGACAAACATTTTTATTTTAATAGTATATTTAGAATACGATGAAACGCAAAGATACCATAATTGTTTTGGTCATAAAAATGTGTGAAATTATTCTCAATTTATTATTTTTTTTTTTTATTTATTCCTTGATAATCATTTTGTAATAATGAAAAAAATATTTACTCTTTTTACCTTGTATCTAGGTTGCAGTAAAACTATCCACGAAAGTGACGAGAGTATTATTATACCAAAATATATGGATTACTAGCTGAACCCGGCAGACGTTGTCTTGCCTTTGACTATTTATAATCCCGCGGGCTTTGCCCCGTTTAACTTCTTAATTTTCAAGATGATCTCGTTCGCATGGCTCAATCACGTCCTGGTTGAAGTTCGTTCGCTACGCTCACTCACCTTTAGGTTGGAGCTCGTTCGCTGCGCTCACTTGCCTTCAAGTTAGCTCGTTCGCTACGCTCACTTGCCTTCAGGTTAGCTCGTTCGCTACGCTAACTCGCCTCCAGGTTGAAGTTCGTTCGCTACGCTCACTCACATTTTGTTTGCAAATTAGCTGTTGTCATATATGTAAAAGAAATAATAGTGCTGCACCCTGTTGGTAATCCTTGTAACTTTAATGCTATATTGAACATCATAGAACAGAACCAACTTGTTTAATTGAAACAGCTGTTAAGATTCATTAATTCCATTTCTCATAAGAAACACATGGGAAACTCCAGAGCCACTGGGGCGGAGCCGATTGGACGGATCACGAAATTGATGGTGTATAAACCTATTCCATGACATTCTACACGTATGTACCAAGTTTCGTGGCAATCGGTTCAGCGGTGTCTGAGTTTATCACTGCCAAACAAACATACAAACATCCTCTTTTATACTTATAGATATTGATTTTATTATCAAAACTCTACAATGAATTACGTCTGTTCTTTATTTTGCCGTTTACCAGTGCATCTTAAAAAGAAAAAAAGTGTCTTAAACTTCTTGTTAGTTAAATGACATATACTTGACTTCACAATAACTATTTGACATTTATTATTAAGACATTTATTAAATTTAAGTACTAACTAAAATTTAAGGAACTTCTGAATAAAAAAAGAAAATTAAAAAAAATATATATATATTATATATTATATATTATATATTATATATTATATATTATATATTATATGTTTTTTATATATTATATAATAAAAATTCTATATAATGTATGAAATTTTTATCTTAGTTGTATTTTGTTAAATTGTTTTGTTATAATTTTTTAGGTTCTTTTGTAAGGTATTTTATCCTGCCAAATTTTCAACCAAGTTAAAGATCTACAAAATAAAATGTTTGTCCAAACTTGACAAAAAACTCAAGGAAATAATCAAATTAAATAAATATTTATAACATAGTTGATAAAAAAATATATAAAGATTATGATACAATTTAGATCACACACTTATTTTAATATCAAACCCCTAATAAATGAAATAAAGTAATTGGATTTTTCACGAAGGATAATTTAATTTTTCTAAAAAATAAATTTAAATTTAAATTTAAATTAGGTTAAAATCATTTTCAGTAAATGAATGTAAATAGTTTTTAGTTCTTTTTGTCAGACATTAGGCATAAGATCTTTATTTCTATAAAATTTTCAAGACCATTAATAATTGAATTTAATAATACTCTAATATTAACATTTTAACATATTCATAGGCAAAAAATGTATAATCATTTTACAATAAAATAATGAAAAAATAATTTTAACTTAGACCTAAATCATTTGTCACATTTAAATTAGGCCCATCTTGTCAAAGATAATTTATATGTTTTATACTCTTGTATTGCATTTATGAAGAGAAGATAAAACCTAGATAAGAAGAGTTAGCAACAGATTTACGTTGTGCCAGTTCTGACTCAGAGAGAGAAATAAATCCAAATTACAGAACACCTCAGGGACAGCTACATTTTTAATCCTCACCAACGACAACGAATGAGTTTTACAACATAAAGCTAACGAGCTAAAACTTGGTTTACGGTTTTATTTGTTACTTTTTGTAAATTGTTTTGTAATTGATTATCTAGTGAGTCTCTGGAAATGTTTTGTGGTACTTTTTATTCAAGATAAAAGAATTTTCCTACATATACCGAGTTGGTTTTGCCCTTATAGATAATTTTGAGCTCGTGTCAAAGTATCTTTTGGTTCTGTAACGAAACGGACCTAAATTGACAATTTTGAGAACAACGCCTACTGTCCTACTCTATTCTGTTGTACTAATTATTACAGTTTCATATTCTTACCTGTTCTTACGCATTCTTCAGTCAAACATATCCTTTGATTGTGTGGCACTGAAAAGTAAAATAAAAACAATCAGTTTAAATCAACAGTTTCCATACAATATAAATGTATATTTGCTAATGTGTAGTTGGTCCAAAATACTGTACTGTGGTACACACAGTACAGTATTGCAAAATAAAACATGTGTATGCAGTTAAAATAGAATTAAATTGTGATAAAAACAAAAAATATTACAAGCCCTTTTACAGTTGAACATTACACAGGATGTGTACTATAAAATAGTTATTTTCAAAGGTTATGATAAATACGTGTTTTGTGCAGTGTACAACATTAAGATAGATTCATCACACTTTTGAATCAGCTGGTCAAAAGAAAATTGTAAGGTAAGTTCTAGGTTCTGTATTCATTGGTTCTAGCCGGTATAGAGAGATTTTATAAATATGATTTCGATTCGTTTTCGTTCATTTCATGTTACTTGATAGTCCAGGCAAATTAGATCAAATATAGGGTGTGCTCCCCAAAAAATCGTCTAAAGCTGGAAAGTGTTTTAATACCTTTTGGGGGTCCCAAATAAGACTCCTGTGAGTTTGCGACGGATTCTGACGTCTGCTTAAGTTTTGGGAGTCGAAAAACTATGAAAATTTTGCACTTTTTTCAGTTTTTCGCTTATAACTCCTAAAAAACGAATCCTAAGGAAAATGTTGTTCAGAGGTGTCTTTTAGTGCAATAAATTCCGCGTCGATTGATGTTAAATACGTCAAAATCGGCCGAGCCGTTTAGCCGCTGTAGTTTTTTAAAGGTGTGATATTTTCATCAACATGGCCAAAAGGTTGATTATTTGACCAGTTTTCGGCTTAAAACTCCTAAACGACGCATGCTATACAAAAATGCACCTGTAGTTAGTTTGGAAAACACAAAATTCTGCGTATAATGTTTTTTTTATTAATCAATAACGGCAATTGATTGTTACTTACTTTCTATGGACGCCATTTCATTAAAAAAAGCATTAAAGTTAAAGTTGGGAAATTTTCATAAAATTGGTAACAACATAGATCCCGTCCTTAAATGGATTATGAATTATTATATAGTGGTTTATTCCATGATGGTAATCTAGAGGTTTATCTAACAAGGTGTGATGAGAGTAAGACCCCCTATGTAATTTTAAGTCTAATATTGTTGTCTGAGGTTCCGAAAATTCTAGGATTCATCCCAACCACCCATTATATACGATCTATCCCTGTATTCATCTTTCAGTTTTTGGCTTACATCTTCTAACGCATGCTATAGAAAAAAATGTTCCTGTAGTTAGTTTGAAGAGCATAAACGTCTGCGTAGAATGTTTTCCAATTCATTAAGATCGGCTTCACCATTTAACCGCTATTGATTGTTAACACTAGATCAGATGCTTGTCAAGTTTAAAATCTTACCATTGAAATCTGGCAAACAACCAGCCTAATTACCAAAAACATAGGGGATATGGCAGTGAATCTATCCACTAGTGTGACGTCATGGATCCTGCAGCACGGCCTATGAACAAGTAAGTGCTCATGAGAGCAACATCTTACTGTGGAGAGCTTTTTCCGAGATAGGGGAATCAATGATGTGGACCTAGCCCGATGGTTCGCTGGCAAGCCCATCGCAGTGAATGCTACCCATCAAGTTAAGGTATATTGTGGGATCACCTCCTCAACATATTATCAGCAAGTTGACAATATAAACTCCACGGATACGGTGGGATCAAAAAGAAATTCATCAAATGGTTCCAGTGTCACGACCCATTTACTGAAAATAGTTCGCTCATGTCAATCAGCTCAGCAGTTATCCTATATGATAGCATCAACGCGATATACAGTGTGTAAATTAAGTATGGAAACAAATCTGTATTTTTTAAACCAAAATAGATAGAAATATTTGGTTTGTGGCATTGACTGTTAACCAAGGTTCCGCAATTTTTTGCATCAGAAAAAACTTTTCACCCCCTCAGGGGGGGTAGGGGTAGGGGGTAATTTAATTTTTTTAAATAGCAACCCCTATTGAGTGACCTCTCATTTTGAAGGGTTTGTCAAAAGAAATACAATGCCGTAAACCCGAGGTCGATATCTTACCCCTAACCAGAATGGCGGCCATTTTAAATTTCGAGATGGGCAAACGAAATCCAGTGTGGATACCCATAATTTACCTTTTAAATGGGTTACATTGGGTAAGCCGAACTCCAGATACCATTATTAGATTGAAAAGTGGATGTTTTTATCGTATTCAAAATTTTGCCCCAGCCCCCAAAATAGGGGATTTTGGGGGCAGCCCCAAATTTTTAAACGCAAATCCCTATTGAGTGACCCCTCGTTTTGAAGGGTTTGTCAAGACAAAAGCAGTGGCACAAATCTTAGGTCGATATGTCATCCCTAGACGAAATGGCAGGCATTAAACATTTTTAATTGGTGAAATGGGCGCTTTTTTACCCAATCAAGTTTTTGAAAATTTGGGGCTGCCCCCAAAATCCCCTATTTTGGGGGCTGGGGCAAAATTTTGAATACGATAAAAACATCCACTTTTCAATCTAATAATGGTATCTAGATTAGCGATAAAAACCGGAATTTTACCCCCTGTACATATAACTAGCGTTTAGACAACTGAAGATTTTTACCCCCGGAATTTTACCCCCGGAATTTTACCCCCGGATTTTTACCCCATGGCCAATTTTAGAAATTGAATGATTGATTTTGTTGTTTCTGTTTTTAATTAGTTTTAAACATTTAAACTCAAAAGTTCGCGGCCGGAATTTTACCCCCTGGTTTGTGACGTCACGTTTGCCCGGGGTAAAATTTCAGGGGGATAAAAATCCGCTTCCCCCCTGAAGCTTCGTTGATCGGCCACAACGGCACCAGTTCGAAAAATATCCGATACACAAAACTCTGTCTATTGCTCTTTAGTGAAATTGAATTTTTAATTGTGTTCCATCATGAGTCAGAGGTGGCTTTTTAATAAACAAGGCAGTCACAATCAGAGAGCATAGAATTTCTATCAGAATAGTTTACAGTATAAGCGTGCTCTATCCCTTGTTAATTATAGGCCTATAGCTATTACATCTAAGGCAAAATACATATGTTTAGTTTTGCACCATTAATTTTTAAACACCCTGTGATTTTAAATATGCAATGAGACTTACAAGGTTCAATTTTATAATGGCTGTACGATTTTTATATAAAATATGTTAAATTTTGGTTCAAAAATTGAAACGCAAAAATTATTTTAAATACAAATACCCCCGTCGCAGCAAACCTGCATACTAAGCGAATTTCCATTTACCCGGCTTGATTTCTACTAAAATATTCCTATAACATTAATTTTAGTGAGTAGTTAGGTTTGCTGCTACGGGGAAGATTTTGAGGTGTGTTTTTTCAATTGAAATATTGATAGCTTAGTATGAAATAAACCAAATTTGATTAAAATATATCCATAAACAAGCAAACTAGAACAGTTTATTTATTCTCCTTAAGAATACCTTCTCCTTAAGGTAATAACATGGGAATTTTAAATTTACAATTTTTTAAATTTTCTCTGTAGTCAATGAACATTCAAAAACACTTCAATATACTAAATTATTTGTTTTTTAAGCTCTTCAAAATGGTCTAGAGAGAAATTTAGAAATTTAAAGTTTTTAGGGTCAAAAATGAGAAAAACCCATTTTTACCCCATAAAACCCCCATAAACCCCTGATCCCATGGTCCCCAGTAGTAGTAATGCTGGTTCGCGAACTCGTTCGAATAAATGTAGGTTTACACGTTTGTACCAAATTTCATCAAAATCGAATCAATTTTGCTCGAGTTATCGCGCTAACGGACACATATATAAATATATATATTTATAAATATATATATATAAATATATATATATAAATATATATATAAATAAATATATATATATATATATAAATGAATTTGAACGGATGGTGTTTTTGGCCTCTGGGGACCTCAAAACGAAAAAGTAAATCGGTCCCGGGTCTAGGTCTTACCATGAGACCTACGGTAATAGCTTATTCCCTATATGGGAAATTCGCTAATAGATTTTTAAAAATCATACATTGGTGAAATTAGTTTCACTTAAATACCTACAACCTAAATCACGTTATTAACGATGCATAACACTTTAAGAAGTTAAATATTTTTTAAATTGTAAAAACAGTTTGAGAAACTGTAGTAAGTAAATTTGTAAGTAAACACATTATTGAGTAGATACAAAATAACTTATAAGCAATTACAATTTCCTTAACAACACATTAATCGATCAACAGCCATTGAAACACCCTAAATATTTGGTGTTAATCCATCCAATATCAAAATTACGTTTTCCATTTAATCATTTGACCATTGATGTTAACTATCGGCAAACGGACTCCTCCCTAAAATGTAATATTGTTGAAAGCTTGTTACTAAATGCTTTATAAGTAATTAATTGTGTTGCTCTACATGGCTTGGCAATATTTGTTGTTCGTTTTATACGTCTTTGATATGGTTTGTCGTTTAATTTGTTAGAATTACTGTAAGATGTTTTCGTGAAAAAATCAAAATAGCAGGTTTAACCAATACAAAGGAATTATTGCTTATTGTTTAGGAAATTTGTCTTAGTTTCTAATTATTCTTATTCAAGAGTTATTCTTGTTGCCGAAACGTATGCTGAAATAGCATGTTCAGTTGATAAAAGTAATTAATTTATTTTGTTTTACTCGTTGTGATTTACAAGCAAAATTTAATTTTATGTTGTTGCGATATCTTTGATCCAACTATAATAATAATTTAAATTATTTCACTGCTACAACATGTTCAGCATTTAATTTGAATTCAATGTTGTTGATCTTTTTTCCTTCATCATAAAAAGGACAATTTCGTTAAGTTTGTTATTCTTTGAGAATTTGAATATGGTTCAATTTTTAAAAAAGTCGATGAAATAAAATTACAATAGTTATCCTTCACAATAACTAAATAATAATGCACTTTAAAACAGTTTATCCTAAGCTAGGCCAAGTTATAGGTTAAGCTAATTTACATAATCT